AGCCACCCGGGCGCTCCACACTTACTCTTTTCTTAAAATTTTTTTTTTTTTTTTTTTTTTGAGGGAGCGAGCTTGCACGTGGGATCAAGCCCGGGGGAGGGGCAGAGAGAGAGAGACACAGAATCTGAAGCAGGCTCCAGGCTCTGAGCTGTCAGCACGGAGGGGCTGGAACCCACCAACTGAGGTCATGACCTGAGCTGAATTTGAACACTTAACCAACTGAGCCACCCCCAGGCACCCCATGATAAAAAAACATTTTGTAGCTACATGTTTGCTACAAATATTTTCATAGTATGAATTAGAAGTAGATATGTACAGGTCAAGGATTTTGATTATGTATTTCTGAATTGCTCCCATAAAAGTTGAATGAATATACTGTCCTACCAGAAAAGGATGAAGGCACTCATTTCATGGAAATTATACCTACTTAAATCCTTACCTACACGGGTATTACAATTAAGTTTGTGATTTTCAATTTGATAAGTGAGTAACAATGTTACTGTTTTAGTTTGAAAACATTGAACATTAGGAGTGCCTGAAGGGCTCAGTTGGGTAAGCCTCTGATTTCCGCTCAGGTCATGATCTCAGGGTTTGTGAGTTCGAGCCCCATTGTGTCGGGCTCTGTACTGACTGCTCAGAGCCTGGAGCCTGCTTCCGATTCTATGTTTCCCTCTCTCTCTACCCCTCCCATAGTTATGCTCTCTCTTTCTCAAAAATAAATAAACATTGGGGCCCCTGGGTGGCTCAGTCGGTTAAATGTCCGACTTCAGCTCAGGTCATGATCTCGTGGTTTGTGAGTTTGAGCCCTGTGTCAGGCTCTGTGCTAACAGCTCAGAGCCTGGAGCCTGCTTTGAATTTTGTGTCTCCCTCTTTCTTTCTTTTTTTTTTTTTTTTTAGTTTTCTTTTTTTTTTTTGCATTTATTTATTTTTGAAAGACAGAGAGAGACAGAACACAAGTGGGGGAGGGACAGAGAGAGAAGGAGACACAGAATCCAAAGCAGGCTGACAGCTCAGAGCCTGACGCGGGGCTTGAACTCACGAACCATGAGATCATGACCTGAGTCGAAGTCGGATGCTTAACCGACTGAGCCACCCAGGTGCCCCTGTGTCTCCCTCTTTCTGCCCCTCCCCTGGTCTCCATCTCTGTCAAAAATAAATAAACATTTTTAAAAAATAAAAAATAAATAAGCATTAAAAAAAGAAAACATTGAACATCTGTATTTATTTTTCTGTTGTTACTACATAGCTCTTGTCCATTTTTTCCATTGAGTTTTATCTTTTTGTTACTAATTTATGAAACTTTATGTAGTAAGAATATTAATACCTTTGTTTGAAAAACTTAAAATTTTTTGGGGCGCCTGGGTGGCTTAGTCGGTTAAGCGTCCGACTTTCGCTCAGGTCATGATCTCGCGGTTTGTGGGTTCGGGCCCCGCGTCGGGCTCTGTGCTGACTGCCGGCTCAGAGCCTGGAGCCTGTTTCAGAGTCTGTCACTCCCTCTCTCTCTGACCTTCCCCTGCTCACGCTGTCTCTCTCTCTCTCCTAGAAATAAATAAAACATTAAAAAAAAAAATAAAAAAAAAGAAAAGAAAAACTTAAAATTTTCTTATTTAAAAATTATGGATTTTGGGACACCCAGCTGGCTCAGTCGGTTAAGCCACTGATTCTTGGGATTCTCCCTCTTCTTTCTCTCTGCCCGTCTGTCGCTCACACTCTTTCTCTTTCTTTCTCAAAATAAATAAAATAAACTTTAAATTTTTTAATGTTTCATTTATTTCTGAGAGGAGACAGCATGAGAAGTGGAGGGTCAGAGAGAGAGGGAGACACAGAATCTGAAACAAGCTCCAGGCTCTGAGCTGGCTGTCAGCACAGAGCCCTATGTGGGGCTCGAACCCACAAACCATTAGATCATGACCTGAGCCGAAGTCGGATACTTAACCGACTGAGCCACTCAGGCGCCCCTACTGCATACTATTTTAAAAACTACTTTCTTGCTTAACAGTACTTTGTGCATACCTTGTCACACATTTTTCTCTAACATCATCTGTAATATTTTACATTAGAATTTGTTGTTAATGTTTGTTTATTCTTGAGAGAGAGAGAGAGAGAGTGCGCGCATGAGTGGAGGAGGGGCAGAGAGAGAGAGAGAGAGACAGAATCCCAAGCAGGCTCCTGGCTCTGAGCTGTCAGCACAGACCAACCAAAGGACCAGGTGCCCCATAATATTTTACATTTTTAATTTAAAAGCAATATGTTGTCATTCTAAAACATTTAAATATCACAGAAAAAAATGTTGAATGCATAAGTTCCTGTTATTCGGCTCTCCAGGGATAACCAGTTAATAGTTCTGTATATAGTCTTCCAAGTCTTTTTTTCTAAGGCTATTCTGTCCATATGTTTTTTAAAATGTATAATCACATTACACATACTGTTTCTATTTTTCACTTTATTGAGCTTGGACATGTCATATATGTAAACCAACCTCACTCATTTTAGTGGGGGTAGGGTATGGAGTTACCATACCCAACATCTTGTTGATGGATGTTTGGATTGCTTCTAGTTTTACTTTAATACAAACTGCTACACTGAACATAAATTGCTACACCTTCTACATAAATCTTTAAGTGCTTAAGTAAGTGTTGTAAGATGAATTCCTAGCATTGGAATCACTAACATAGAGTACAAACAGTATGGACATTTAAATATTTAACAGAATTTGGGGCATCTAGGTGGTTCAGTCGATTAAGCGCCTGACTCTTGATTTTGGCTCAGGTCATGATCTTGCTATTCATGGGTTTGAGCCCCACGTCAGGCTCTGTGCTGATGGTGTGGAGCCTGCTTGGGATACTCTCTCTTCCCCTCTCTCTGCCCAGGATACAAAATGAAAAATAAAAGACTTATCTCTCCCCATAGTAACCATCGCCAATATTTTTGTATATTCCTTCTAGAAAAAAATTCTGTATAGATGCAATATTGTGAATATTCCCAGCACCACTATGTCTAGCTCTGGCCAAGTTTTATGACTTCCCTTTAATTAGTTAAGACATGTCTCCCAAACTCTGGTGACCGTAGACCTTGAGTTCTACATTTCAGTTGGATAAAGATGGGCTCTGTAGTAAAACAATTTGACAACTAAGTCCCATAGTCTCTCTCTCTTTCTTAAATGTTTTCTTTATTTTTGAGAGAGAGACCTAGTGTCAGAGAGGCAGAGAGGGGCCAGAGAGAGAGACACACACACACAGAATCTGAAGCAGGCTCCAGCCTATGAGCTTTCAGCACAGAGTCCAACGCAGGGCTCACACCCACAAACAGTGAGATCGTGTCCTGAGCCGAAGTTGGGTGCTTAACTGACTGAGCCATCCGGGTGCCCCAGTCATAGTCTCTCTCTCTTGTTTCTTAAAAATTAAAATTTTTTTTTTTAATTTTTGAGAGAAAGAGAGAGACAGAGAGCACAAGTGGGGGAGGGGCAGAGAGAAGGAAACATAGAATCCGAAGCAGGTTCCAGGCTCTGAGCTATCAGCACAGAGCCTGACTCGGGGCTCGAACTCATGAATCCATGAGGTCATTTCCTGAGCAGATGTTGGATACTTAACTGACTGAGCCACACAGGCACCCCAATCATAGTCTCTTTAAACTGAACGGCAGAAAAACATGACTGAAAAATTTGTTGCTTGTGGTAGAGAACATTGTCTCATTTAATATTATCAGAGATCTTTAGTATGATTAGATAGTGAATATATACTTGTTTGGCTCCCCAGGTTATAAGTATTGTGTATATCCTTAGCATTTTTCTTCTTTTCTTTTCGTTTCGTTTCGTTTCTTTTCTCTTCTCTTTTCCTTTCCTTTCTTCTTTCTTTCCTTCTTTCCTTCTTTCCTTCTTTCCTTCTTTCCTTCTTTCTTTCTTTCTTTCATAAAAAGAGAGAGTGTGAGCATGAGTGGGGGAAAGGAGCAGAGGAAGATAGAATCTCAAGCAGGCTTGATCCCATGACTGTGAGATCAGGACCCAAGATGAAACTAAGAGTCAGACATTCAACTGACTGAGCCGCCCAGGCACCCCTGTATCTTTAGCATTCTTACCAGCATACATGATTTTTTTTTTAATTTATTTTTTAAATGTTTTATTCATTTCTAGCAGAGAGAGAGACAGCGTGAGCAGGGGAGGGTCAGAGAGAGAGGGAGTCACAGACTGAAACAGGCTCCAGGCTCTGAGCTGGCAGTCAGCACAGAGCCCGACACGGGGCTCGAACCCACAAACCGCGAGATCATGACCTAAGCGAAAGTCGGACGCTCAACCGACTAAGCCACCCAGGCGCCCCATGATTTGTAACATATAATATGAATTAAGAACTTGCAGGTCAGTGAATTGTTTCACAGTTTCTCTTTACTTAAAGTTGATTCCTTAAAAGGAGGCCCATGTTTCTGATTCTATAGATTTCTTTAACAGAGAGAGAGCTTGGATTAATGTCTGCACAACAGCTCAGCAGCTGTGGTATATGTATATTTCATTTACACAATAGGGAACATACTATATATATGTCCCTAACTTTACATGTTTCACATAATGCATCTCAAAGATCCTTTCATATCAGGACATATGGATCTATTGAGGAAGATATTATTAAATCTAGAGGTAGATTTTTAGTGTTAATGAATTGTTCTTCACTCTCCACAGCCTGTGGCCCTGGTATCTTTTCCCATTTGGTCTCCCAGGGAGAGGCCTGGAGTGGTGGGGTACTGAATCATCACAGGAAAACCAAGATCCCCTCACATGATCTCATGGTGTGATGCTTCTCACTGACACTCCCTAGCCCAGGGGCACAATTCCTGGTGTCAGTACTAACTTTTGCTCCTCTTTCTTTAGTTTCTCTCATCCCCCCAAATCAGCTGCACCTATGGATGGTTGAAAGGCAGGTGCCTTCTCAGGCTAATGGAAGGAGGCTGAGGTATTTCTTCGCCCTCATACCCTGGCTGCTGATGTCTGCCACGTTCTATTTCCATTCTAGGGGAAGCCGTATGTCTTTGACCGCGTGTTCCCCCCAAACACAACCCAGGAGCAAGTTTATCATGCATGTGCCATGCAGATTGTTAAAGGTAATGGACTTATTTTTAGAATGTATGTTTTCAGGCTCCCCATCCCCTACCCCACTTCTTTCCACCAGTGCTCTTACTCTGCCATCTCTTTCAGATGTTCTTGCTGGCTACAATGGCACCATTTTTGCTTATGGACAGACATCCTCAGGGAAAACACATACTATGGAGGTGAGGGTCTGACTTCCATGAGGGGTGAAGAGCTGGGAGTGATAATGAGAGGCCAAGGGATCTCAGTGCAGGGCAAGATCTTGGAATCAAGGTTGCTTGGTCTGGAGGATGAAGTGAGGAGTATTATTATTGTGGAAGTTTAGTGGAATCCCTCCAGCTGGCTGCGGTTTTCCATCCTTTCCACTATTCCACTTTTCTTCTTTTGATCTGGAAAAGCAGCTGCAGTAAAAGTTAAAAGGGCTACTCAGTTGTCTCCGTGTTCCACTAAAAAGGTAGACGTGGCAGCGACTGCCTCCTACCTTAAGGTGGTCTTTCTATCAACTATTACCTTTGTGGTCACCTGCATCCCTCTTGAGTTGTCTTAGTCTTTCTGAGCCCCAGGCTCATTCTGGAATACCCTTCCTCCCCAGGGAAAGCTGCATGACCCTCAGCTGATGGGAATCATTCCTCGAATTGCCCGAGACATCTTCAACCACATTTACTCCATGGATGAGAACCTTGAGTTCCACATCAAGGTGATCGCAGCATGACAGCTGGGTGCCCTCAGATGGGGCCTGGGAGGGGAAGATCTAGTGTGAACCCACTGAGAACCCGGGCACCCCGACTCATTTTTCTTCTCTACTTATTTCTGCTAAGATATTCTTTTCTGCTCTTTCCCTCCTACTACCACCGTTTGAGCGAGTCACATTCACTTGAGATCCCTGTATCGGATTTAAGATAGGCCCTCTTCCCTTTCTCCCTAACCAGGTTTCTTACTTTGAGATTTACCTGGACAAAATTCGTGACCTTCTGGATGGTGAGTGGTGTTTAACCTCACTGGGTGGGTGAGGGTGTGAGGAGGGCAAGGAAAAGAAAGATCACATTGCTCTTGGGATTAGGTACTGTTTGGCCAGAGATGCAGAGGCCACACACACTCATACTCATGTCCCTTGCCTCCACGCACCAGAATTTCCAGAAACAGAAAGGGTCAAGAGATGAGCTTAGACACCCAGGGTGAGCTTGCTCACCCAGCTCAGCATAGAAATAGCCTGAGACCAGCTGGAACCTTGAGGATAGGATCCTGGAGGAGGAGAAACTGAGTTCTCAGTGTAAGCTTCTTTCTCCTTTTTGCACATAGAAGAAACCACCATCTAAGTGGACTACGGGGTGTGGGGTTGGGGGTGGAAGTGCTAACCCTGCCTGCCCTGCATTGTCTTGATTCAGTGACCAAGACAAATCTGTCTGTGCATGAGGACAAGAATCGGGTGCCCTTTGTCAAGGTGAGAGTGGGGACAGGGGCACCTGGGTGGGTGTGGGGGTGTGGGGGAAGGATGGACCAGAGACCCAGAAGTTGGAGGGCAGGGATCTTGGAGGAGCGAGAAGGGCCCAGGGACCTGGGACGGTCCGAGGGCTTGGAAAAGACAGTCTTGAAAGGTCACGTGATCAGTGTGCAGGTAATTTAGTTTGCAGATCAACATTTATGGGTCGCTGTCCATTTGTCCCCTGCAGGGTTGTACTGAACGCTTTGTGTCCAGTCCAGAGGAGATTTTAGATGTGATTGACGAGGGGAAATCAAATCGCCACGTGGCTGTCACCAGTGAGTGGGGATAAAAGGGGCTCTTGAGTCTGGGAGCCTGCTGCTTGTCTGTGTCCTCTGGGGCCGAGGGACTGGAAGTGAGCAAGGGAAGCTGTGTCCTCCGCAAGAAGAGGGTACCCTTGTGTGTGCGACCCAGCTGGCTGGGAGACACGGTGGCAGGGCTAGGCCCGGCAGGTTCCCTCTCTCTCCGGGTGGGCCAGCAGTCAGTGGAAGCCGGGGGGCCGAGGGCTGTGGCTCCACAGGCATTAGTACAGGAACCGTTCCTCCCTTGGTCCTGCAGACATGAATGAACACAGCTCTCGGAGCCACAGCATCTTCCTCATCAACATCAAGCAGGAGAACATGGAGACCGAGCAGAAGCTCAGTGGGAAGCTGTATCTAGTGGACCTGGCGGGGAGCGAGAAGGTTGGGGGCCGGGGCGTGGGGTGGGTACGGAAGGAGGTCGGGAGGAGCTTTTTTAAAATTGAAATAACTGGGGCGCCTGGGTGGCTTAGTCGGTTAAGCGTCCGACTTTCGCTTAGGTCATGATCTCGAGGATCGTGGGTTCGAGCCCCGCGTCGGGCTCTGTGCTGACTGCCGGCTCAGAGCCTGGAGCCTGTTTCAGTCTGTGACTCCCTCTCTCTCTGACCCTCCCCTGCTCACGCTGTCTCTCTCTCTCTCTCTCTCTCCTAGAAATAAATTAAAAAAAAAAAAAGTTAAAAAAAATTTAAAATTGAAATAACTCTTTAATTGAGATATAATGCAGATACCGTAAAGTTCATTGTTATGAAATACATAGTTCAGTGGGTTTTAGGATGGTTGGAAGCCTGTGCACTCATCACCACTAATTCTAGACCGTTTTCATCACCTGTTAGCCATCACTCCCTATGCTCCCTTCCCCCCACCCCTAGCAACCAGTAATCTACTTTTTTTTTCTCTGTGGATTTGCCTTTTCTGGACATTTTGTATAATACGTGGGTGGCTTTTAGCAAGAAAGTTTAGGGTAACAGAGGAAGGGCCTTTGCTGTTCTCTTTCCCCGACCCTGCCCCTGTTGGACCGGATCTGCCCCAGTGGAGAAAAGGCCCTGAGAGCCCTCCCCCTCAGCAGCTGCTCATGACACACTCATTCCTTACTTCTCGGGTAGGTCAGCAAGACCGGAGCAGAGGGAGCCGTGTTGGACGAAGCAAAAAATATCAACAAGTCACTGTCAGCCCTTGGGAACGTGATCTCCGCGCTGGCTGAGGGCACAGTGAGTGTTCCTCAGGCCCCCTGTTCCACAGCCTGCACCCCATCTTCCAGCTTCTCCTCCTGCTGCTGCCATCTCATCACGCCCAGTTCACAAGGTGTACGGTCCCTAGGCAGCACCACTGTCCTCTCTGATTCTCTCGTTGAGTATTGTCCTGATTCATAATCTCCCCCTCACCCCCAGAAAACCTACGTTCCATATCGTGACAGCAAAATGACACGGATTCTCCAGGACTCTCTGGGGGGAAACTGCCGGACAACTATGTTCATCTGCTGCTCACCGTCCAGCTACAACGATGCAGAGACCAAGTCCACCCTGATGTTTGGGCAGCGGTCAGTGGCAGAGCCCCTCGTCATCTATGCGGCCCCGGCAGCAGTCACCCCTCAGGGCCACGCAAGCCTTCGTGGGGGTCTCATCTTGGTCTCCTCATCCAGGGCAAAGACCATTAAGAACACTGCCTCGGTGAATCTGGAGTTGACTGCTGAGCAGTGGAAGAAGAAATACGAGAAGGAGAAGGAGAAGACAAAAGCTCAGAAGGAGACCATCGCAAAGCTGGAGGCTGAGCTGAGCCGGTGGCGCAATGGTTAGAGAGGGTTCCGGTGGGCGTAAGAGACCGAGGGAGGAGGAGGCCTGGGGGACCAAGGGGGCCCTGTCTGGGGCGGTGCTTAAGGTCAGGCAGACCTCCCAGGAGGGCCGTGTTTCTGGCGGGGTGCAGTAGAGTGGTCACGAGGGAGGGGGAGATGGGGCTGACCTCCCTCATCCCACCCCCCAGAAAAGGTTGAAGGTGCCCTTGGCAACAGAGATGGAGACCTGCCTGGAGGTCTTGAGGAGCGAGGGAGGAAGGACTCCTGGATGCAGCTCTGTCTTCTCCTGTCCCTCACCTTGTTCTGTCCCTTGGCCAGGAGAGAATGTGCCTGAGACGGAGCGCCTGGCTGGGGATGACGCAGCCCTGGGAGCTGAGCTCTGTGAGGAGACCCCTGTGAATGACAACTCGTCCATTGTGGTGCGCATCGCGCCTGAGGAGCGGCAGAAATACGAGGAAGAGATCCGCCGCCTCTATAAGCAACTGGATGACAAGGTGAGACACCCAGGGCACAGAGGCCAGGGGGATGGAAAGTGAGGGATTAAGGAATTAGCTTCTACTGCTCTTTTTTTTTTAATTTTAAGAGGGACAAATGCACATTATTGAAAATGTGGAAGATAGCACTGAGTAACATTTAGAATGGTTGAATTGCCGTATCATACATCTGAAACTAATATAACACTATATGTTACCTATACTGGAATTAAAATTTTAAAAATTAATAAGAATTATATTATTTAAAAAATTTAGGGGCACATGGGTGACTCAGTCGGTTAAGCATCTGACTTTGGCTCAGGTCGTGATCTCACGGTTCATGGGTTCAAGCCCTGCGTTGGGCTCTGTACTGACAGCTCAGAGCCTAGATCCTGCTTTGGATTCTGTGTCTTCCTCCCTCTTTCTGCCCCTCCCCCACTTATACTCTGTCTCTTTCTCTCTCAAAAATAAATAAACATTAAAAAAATTTAGAAGACAAATATAAATAAATAGAAGAAAATTTAAGTCTTCCATTATCACACCATTTGGAAATAACACTATTAACATTTTGCTTTTCTTCATACACAGAACTTGCAATTGAGGTGCACTGTGTGTGTAACTTTGCATCTGATTTCTTCATTCCATATTCTATAAGGAGCAATTTCCTACTTTTTTTTTTAATGTTTTATTTATTTCTAGGAGAGAGAGGGAGACAGCGTGAGCAGGGGAGAGTCAGAGAGAGAGGGAGTCACAGACTCTGAAACAGGCTCCAGGCTCTGAGCTGTCAGCACAGAGCCCGACGTGGGGCTCGAACCCACGAACCGCGAGATCATGACCTAAGCGAAAGTTGGACGCTTAACCGACTAAGCCACCCAGGCGCCCCAACAATTTCCTACTTTGTTAACAATTCTTTTAACTTAATTTAATTAGTTCTTTTAACTATTTTTTAATTAAAAATTTTTTTCCATAAAAGCATTTTTTTAAATGGCTGCCTGGGGCGCCTGGGTGGCTTAGTCGGTTAAGCGTCCGACTTTCGCTTAGGTCATGATCTCGCGGTTCGTGGGTTCGAGCCCCGCGTCGGGCTCTGTGCTGACTGCCGGCTCAGAGCCTGGAGCCGGTTTCAGTCTGTGACTCCCTCTCTCTGACCCTCCCCTGCTCACGCTGTCTCTCTCTCTCCTAGAAATAAATAAAAAAAATAAAATAAAATAAAAAAAATAAATGGCTGCCTAACAGTCCATTTATCAAATGTATTTAACCACTTGTTTACTACAGGGCTTCTAGTTTTCTTTGTTTTGGGTGGTTTGTTTTCACTCTTCTAAGTAACGCTGAAAGGTCTGTCTTTGCCTCTGATGCATAAGACTGTGCTTTTGAATGATTTGATTAGAATGGGGGACCAAAGTGGGAGTTCTAGGTTAGAGGATGTGTCCTTTAATCTAAAGGCTTTTGCTGGATATTGTCAAGGTTATATCATCTTCCAGGAAGAAGGAAATTTGAAAGTGAGGGTAGGAGTGAGGTGAGAGGCTGAGGGGAAAACCTCTTTTGAGGTTATGGGGTTTCTAACTCAAACCCTGAATGGTCTGGATTTTTGTCAGGATCCTACTTCTGCCCCCCACCCCATCCGTCTAGACTGGAAAGCGCTGTCTCCCTTCACTCCCTCTTTCCCCCTTGCCTCCAACAGGATGATGAGATCAACCAGCAGAGCCAGCTCATAGAGAAGCTTAAGCAGCAGATGCTGGACCAGGAAGAGGTAATGGGAAGGAGGACAAGACATGAGAGGAGAGCGGTGTGTTCCCTAAAGAGGGCTTAGTCTTCTGCTTAGGACTTAGTCACTCCCCAAAACTATAGAAATCTAGGGAGTCAACTGGGGCTTTGTGTAAACCACAGGTTTTGGAGTCCGGGTGCTTCTTCCTTCTGCTGTCCTGCTTCTAAGAAGCCTATAGCCCCCTTCCTCCTGACTTTCACTTTGGCCCTTGCTTCTCTCCCAGAGCTATGCACTCCAGGCTTCGGGTGCCAGAGGGGCCCTGTCTGGGGAAGTGCTCTCAGCTTCCCCAGACCAGGGGACCATAGAGGTGGTCCCTCACTTGCCTTACCTCTTTCTTACAGCTGCTGGTGTCCACCCGAGGGGACAATGAAAAGGTCCAGCGGGAGCTGAGCCACCTGCAGTCAGAGAATGACGCTGCTAAGGATGAAGTGAAGGAAGTGCTACAGGCCCTGGAGGAGCTGGCTGTGAACTACGACCAGAAGTCCCAGGAAGTGGAAGAGAAGAGCCAGCAGAACCAACTTCTGGTGGATGAGCTGTCTCAGAAAGTGGTGAGTGGCTGGCTGGGGTCCAAGAGCTGCCTGACCTCCGGAACGTCCCCCATGTCCAAAGGGACCTCTGCATCACGTTTGCACACTGCTGTGCGGTGTGTTGCGGGACCCCCTCCCACCTGTCACCACACTTTGCCCTCCTGACCTCTGTCCCTCCTAAACCCTTTTGCAGGGCCCATGTTCTCTTTGTAGCAGCCCTCAGGGTCACGTATGAGGGGGAGGCCTCTGCCTGGGCTAGGCAGGGAAGTAGGAAGATGGCAGTGGGATGACCTGAGGGCTGTCCCCAGGCCACCATGCTGTCCCTGGAGTCTGAACTGCAGCGGCTACAGGAGGTCAGTGGACACCAGCGAAAACGCATCGCTGAGGTGCTGAATGGGCTGATGAAGGATCTGAGTGAGTTCAGTGTCATCGTGGGCAATGGAGAGATTAAGCTGGTGAGTGGAGACAGAGGCAGTAGTCTTGTTCCGGTCCTTCTCATTCTGGGCACTGGTGGGAGATGCAGGGTGGGATAATCCAGGCCCTCAGGGATGCTGAGAAAGGTGGGCCAAAGATCTGGGAAACATGTCTTTAAACTAGATACAGGGGCACCTGGGTGGCTCAGCTGGTTGAGCATCCGACTTCAGCTCAGGTCATGATCTCATGGTTTGTGAGTTCGAGCCCCACCTAGGGCTCTCTGCTATCAGAGTCCGCGTCCGATCCTCTGTCTCTCTCTCTCTGCCCCTCTCCCGCTCATGCCTTTTCTCTCTCTCTCAAAAACTAAATAAAAACTAAAAAAAAAAAAAAAAAAAAAAACTAGATACAGGAAAACAAGTAGAATTTGCAGACTCAACTGTAAATACACCTTCTAAAGGGTGCTGAATAAAGAAGGAATGGAGATGTGCCTATAGCAGGCTTTTGAGATGAGGCACAGAGTTGAGAATGATATATGCAAATCTGTGGCAGTGACAATGACCCATCTGGACAATCAGGCAGAACAGTTTGACTATAAAAGAAAATCATATTGCTTTATAAGGTGGAAGAGAGAGACTGTCAGAATTGGATCTTTAAGTGCAGGTAGAAAGATTTAGTATGAAATGCCAGATGATGGCCAGTAAAAGTTGTCTGGAAAATACTTGTCCCACCCGAATCCCTGTGTGTGGGGGGGTGTGCATGGGGATAGGCAGAGTGGAAGGGAATGGGTAAAAGCCTCTCTGCAGCAGAGAAGCACCTCTTCCTGCCCTCTCCCACCCCGCAGCCGGTGGAGATCAGCGGAGCCATTGAGGAGGAGTTCACCGTGGCCCGGCTCTATATCAGCAAAATCAAATCGGAAGTCAAGTCTGTGGTCAAGCGCTGCCGGCAGCTTGAGAACCTGCAAGTCGAATGTCATCGCAAGATGGAAGTGACTGGGCGGGAGCTCTCCTCCTGTCAGCTCCTCATCTCCCAGGTGAGCACCGGGCACTGAGAGCCTTTGCATGCACTGGGAAGGAGGGCGATTCTGTGACTTAGGGGATAAAACTCCTAGCACCCACCTTCATGTCAAGGACTTAGGGTCAACCAAAGTCAAGGACAGAATAGCCTGAGGTGGCAGGGAAGGGTCCAGGCCAGGGAAGTGAAGGGTCAGAGGAGATACCACCCCCTGCGCTAATGGGGTCTAAAAGGAGGGTCCACAAAGAAGTGGCCTCTGGCCCTGTCTTCTGGCAGGCCCCACAGGAGGGGAGGGCCTGGGAGAGCTGTAGAGGTCTGTGCTGCCTGGAGTTGTGTTCTTGACTCTGCCCTTCTTCTTCCTCTCACCGCCCCTTCTCCCATTAGCACGAGGCCAAGATCCGCTCGCTTACAGAGTATATGCAGAGCGTGGAGCTAAAGAAGCGGCACCTGGAAGAGTCCTATGACTCCCTGAGTGATGAGCTGGCCAAGCTCCAGGCCCAGGGTGAGGCCTTCTTAAACCTCTAAACCACTTATCTTGCAATCTGAGATCCCAGAGGGGGCGGGGAGGAAAAGTGACAGACATCAAAAGAAACCACCTGACAGCACACTGATCCAATGCATTAGACTGACATCATGGCAGCCAACTCATATACTACTTAGCACGCTTATGCATGGCGCTTATTGTACGTGACCTATAAACCCTCCATTGATCTCTTTCCCTGCTGTATCCAATCAGACTGTCCTAACCCAGAAGAACATCACGGCGGGCCCATTCTGGGTAGATGTCCCCTGCCTTACCTGGAGCTCTGGTCACAAAATGGAAGCTCTTTCCCGAGGAGGTAGGTGTGAGGTAAGCTGTCTTTCCTTCTTTCCCTCAGAAACTGTGCATGAAGTGGCCCTGAAGGACAAGGAGCCAGACACACAGGATGCAGATGAAGTGAAGGTGAGTGGGGAAGGTGTAGGGGACTGCTGGGGCTTGGCAGGGCTGTGCTGGCCCTCTCCAAGCTGGTGTCAGGGAGGCTGGCCTTGAGCATGGGGTGGGGTTGTTTGCAGAAGGCCCTGGAGGTGCAGATGGAGAGTCACCGGGAGGCCCATCACCGGCAGCTGGCCCGGCTCCGGGATGAGATCAATGAGAAGCAGAAGACCATCGATGAGCTCAAAGAGTAAGAATCCCCCTGGACAACCCCGGCCTCCAACGATCCTTTCCCTTGCTATGCTCACACACGCTCCATCTTGGCCCAGCGTCTGATTTGCTCCCTTCCACATGCCCCTGCCACAGTGATGCCACAACTTTGTCGCCCAGCTCCCAAGAGGCATGGGAGTGAGAACTGGTCCCCTCTCCTTGAGCCCTTGTGACTGAATGGCTCAGGGTTCCTCACTCTGTGATGGAAACAGCGGCCGGCATCTGCCTCTGGTATCCGGAGGTAGACGCATCAGTCCAGACTGGACCCATTGGTACCAGAAGGAAGATGTTTGCAGAGCTGGTCTTCCCTTTCCTGGTCACTGACATCTCTCTGTCCTCTCCGATGCCTCCTTGCCCTGTGCAGCCTGAATCAGAAGCTCCAGTTAGAGCTAGAGAAGCTGCAGGCTGACTACGAGAAACTGAAGAACGAAGAGCATGAGAAGAGCAGCAAACTCCAGGAGCTGACGTGAGTAATGGGTATCTGCCTGCAAACCCGCCGCTGCACAGGTGCAGCTGCTACTCACACACACCTGCAGAGGCAGGGTGCGGTGCAGATGTGCAGATGGTGGCCATGAGAGTCATATGATGGGGTGGGGAAGGGGAAATGAGACTTTCAGAAATGACCTCTACTGAATATTAGCTGCCACGGATGTTTGTGATGTTCTCTTGAGTGTGAAAGGCAGGTTACAAAACGGTGTGAATGGTAGGGTCCCATAAAGTTTCTGTGGGATAGACATGCAGAGAAGTAAGAGTCTGGAGGGGGTGGGGCCGCCTGGGTGGCTCAGTGGGTTGAATGTCACACTCTTGATTCTGGCTGGGGTCATAATCTCACAGTTTGTGAGTTCAAGCCCCGTGAGCTGAGAGTGCAGAACCTGCTTGGGATTCTCTCCCTCCCCACCCCCAGCTGGTGCTCTCTCCCTTTCAAAATAAATAAATAAACTTAATAAAAGAAGAAGAAGAAGTAAGAGTCTGGAAAGACGGACACCAAAATGTTAATGGTGGTTTGATCTGTGAGTAGTAGAATTATGGGCTTTTTATGAAATTCATCTTACTTTTTTTTTCTAATATCTACACAGTGAGTGTGGGTAATTTGTATATAAATAATAATAAAGTATAGATCAAAGGAATGGAGAGAGAGGAGAAAGGGAGAAGGTACTGTTCTGAGAAACTTGTGTTTCCTTCTTCCCCCCAGATTTCTGTACGAGCGACATGAACAATCCAAGCAGGACCTCAAGGGTCTGGAAGAGACAGTTGTAAGTGGTTTCTCTGTACCAAATTAACAGGGTGAGGTGGGGACTTCATTTTTTTCTCCTGATTTCTTCATAACCCCATTCCTTATGCAATCAGTCTGTGGTATAATCAGGACACATCTTTTCCTAAAGGATGAGTGATTCACCTGACCAAATAGACTGAAGGTTCCAATAATTTTGAAGTGGAAAGGTTGACCTAGTATTTGGCTATCTCCAATTTTTCATTTTTTTTCCAGGCCCGGGAACTCCAGACCCTCCACAACCTTCGCAAACTGTTCGTTCAAGACGTCACGACTCGAGTCAAGAAAGTGAGTGCCTTCCCAGGACTTTTCACAGCCCCCATACTCTCCTCCTGTCCTCAGCTTTCTCTAACCCCCCACCGTCTTTCATCAGAGTGCAGAAATGGAGCCCGAGGACAGTGGGGGGATTCACTCCCAAAAGCAGAAGATTTCCTTTCTTGAGAACAACCTGGAACAGCTTACAAAAGTTCACAAACAGGTAAAAGAGGGGGCGGGGTGAAGAGAACTCCTGAGGCCAGGTGCCCAGGAGACCCAAATCCTCCGAGGTCCTTTGGATTTAGGAAAATCTACTTACATGTCTTCCTTACTTTTCTCTTTTACTTTTCCTACCAATCCCTTCTTTATAGCATGTTTGGTTCCACTTTTACCTTGTTCTTTGTTCCATGCCTGTTCTCCCTTCTCAGAGCTCCCAGCCTGCCTCTGCTCAGAGTGAAATTCCCCAGGCCTATGGACTTGGAGGGAGAGGTTGAAACTGCTAGAGGCTTCAGAGGCACGGGGCCATAGTGCCATACAAGGGATACTGGTCAGAGATAGGAAGCAATGAGACAAGACAGAAGCCAGGGAAACTGGGCTTTCTCTCATGGAGAGAAAGCCATCTGCCTAGGCCTGGGGCAGGCGTGCAGGGTAATTAAAGGATGTCCTCCAGATGGCCCAACCACCCCCTGGTCGGGGGCCGGTTGAAACTCCTGTGTATTAAGTTGCTGCCTCTCTGTCCCCCTCCTTGCTGCTGCGGTTCCTTAGGTGGATGACTGGGTTTCAAAGGTATGGGGTGGGGAGGCAGAGGAGGCAGTCCAGAGGAGTCAGGACAGGAAATGTTTGGTGCAGACAGAGCAGGAGCACCCTCCCTAGCGTCAAATATCTGAGCCTTGAAGGCAGGCGTGCAGTGTGTCAACTGGCTCTTCTAACTGATTCATAAAACTGATTCTAATCTATACTTCATTCCCTTCTTTCAATCCACCTTAACATCTGATTTAAACTCATATTCTCAGGGCACCTGGGTGGCTCAGTCAGTTAAGCATCCGATTTCCGCTCAGGTCATGATCTCACGGTTCCTGCAGTCCAGCCCCGCATCGGGCTCTTGTGCTGTCAGCGCAGAGCCTGCTTCGGATCCTCTGTCCCCCTTTCTCTCTGCCTCTCCCCAACTTGCACTCTCTCTCTCAAATTTAATGAAAATTTAAAAAAAACTCATATTCTCACTAAATTGGAGCTTAAATTTCTCAGTTCAGTGCCTAGAGTATTTAGCAAATATTCAGTACATCCTTTTTTTAAAAAACATATATAATGAAAGGAAAAATCCCAGAACTGTGGCCCAGTTTTATTTGGGCCTGCAGAGGGCTACACTATCATTTTCCCCCTTTGTTTATTATAAAGCAGTATAACAATGTAACAACATTACAGAAAAGTTGAAAGTCAAGGGAAGAAACATTTGTAATCAGTTCCACCATCCTATTTTCATGTCTGTGTGTTCGCTTTCCTTCTCTGTCCAAATGGATGTCCTATTGCTTATTTTTTCCCAAAATTTTTATTGTGGTGAAATACACATAAAGTTTCCCACCATAATTACTTTAGGGTCCGTGGTATTAAATGCATTCATATTCGTACTGTTGTGCAACATTACCACCATCCTTACCAATCCCTGTCTTCTTGCAAAACTGCACCTCTATACCTATTAATAACGGTAACTCCCATTTCCCCTGCCTCCCAGCCCCTGGCAACCATCATCCTTCTTCTTTCTGTCTCTATGATTTTGTCTCCTTTAAGTACCTCCTGTAAGTGGAATCACACTGGATTTGTGCTTTCGTCACTGGCTTATTACACTTCGCATAATGTCCTGTAGGCTAGCACATTGTGACATGTGTCAGGACACAGGCTGTTTCCTCTTTCCTCATTGAACCATCTGCCTCTGCTCTTACGTCCCAGAGACCAAAAACTACTCACCTGTAGAATGAAGGACTCCTCATAATGCCCTACCTCAGCAGACACAAGACTAGAAAGGAAAATGAGAGAGATGCAGAAACTTCTCAGCGAACAGAATCTTAATCTTAAGAACAGACTCTTAAATAGGCAGCGCTGCAGCCCTATTACTCATGAAGCTAAACTATTGCCACAGCAAAGCATTGTTTATAATCTTGAAATTGTCCAGAGTGAAAGAGGCACGGAAGTGTTCCCAGCTCTGCCCTTTCTCCCCGGGCTCCCTGCTATACTCGTTTACCTGGGATCTTCCAAGGCTGACTCCTGCAGTCTGTAGGGCCCCCTGTTATTGTCTGAAACCCTGTAAAAAGATCAGCAAGTCTCGTCTGGCTGCAAGGGGGTTGCCCCCACTCTCTAGCTTAATTTAAATAGGGGAGGGGCAGCCCAGGAAACCCTTGAACTCGAAGGTAATAGCACAAATGTTTGTGAGACCTCAAACATTTTCTTTCCTTCCTGTGGGGTGCTGTGTGTCTGTGTGGGGGCCGGCGGTGAGGTGGGGCTCCCATATTACAGCTTCTGCTCTTGCTCTGCACCGCACCTCCCCTGCGCTCAATGCCATATCCACCTTCCAGACTGCTTCTGTGCTCTTGCTGCCCCGCCCGCCGCATGCCTACAAAGCCATCTCTGGGAGACGGGTGTCTCATCCCCATGGTTGCCCTGGGGCTGTTGGTCTGGCACAAGCTGTGAGGTATTAGGGGGCGGATATCTAGGCCACGAAAAGACAGGACAGGGCACTGTCACAAGAGTCCTGGGCTACAGTGGGGTTGGCATGTTTTGCTGCTCAGAAAAGAATGTGAATTTTTAATGCCTGACCACTGTTTGCTCAGGGAGAAGGAAAGAACTGGCCAGAGGAGCAGTTAGGTAAAGGGAACGAGGACTTTCAAGGAGACAGTGTGGTCTCCGTCTTCTCTGACTTGATTTTTCTTTATTCTCTCTCCCCGCCCTGCATTCTCATGCTCCACTGCTGGCTCTCTTTTGGGTCACTGGCTTTGCCTCCGGCCCCTTCCCTTGGGCTTACCCCACAGCTGGTACGTGACAATGCAGATCTGCGTTGTGAGCTTCCTAAATTGGAAAAACGACTTAGGGCTACGGCTGAGAGAGTTAAGGCCCTGGAGGGTGCACTGAAGGAGGCCAAGGAGGGCGCCATGAAGGACAAGCGCCGGTACCAGCAAGAGGTGGACCGCATCAAGGAGGCCGTTCGGTATAAGAGCTCTGGCAAGCGGGGCCATTCTGCTCAGATTGGTGAGTGTCAGTGGGTGGCAGCCGATAGGGTGGGATTACCACTGGGGGAGATCAGCAAATTCCTAAGCGTTGAGCAACTAGATAGTTGCTTTTTACCCTACCCTCACACCATCCCCAAAATGTGTAACAGTGAATGTGAATTATGAACAACTCTGTTCAGCTCCAGCTAAATGACTTCAGGGACCAGGGCAGCTGCAGGGTGACAGCCTCCTCATGGTCATTTTCCTTCCCTTACCACAGCCAAACCTGTCCGGCCCGGCCACTACCCAGCATCTTCACCCACCAACCCCTACGGCACCCGGAGCCCTGAGTGCATCAGTTACACCAACAGCCTCTTCCAGAACTACCAGAATTTGTACCTGCAGGCTGCACCTAGCTCCACCTCCGACATGTAGTGAGTGGCCATGGGCATGGGTTGCAGTCCCAACCCAAGGCTCTCTGCACTCTGTAAGGCATAAGGTTGGGTCAATAGGGGGACACTTAATTCTTTTCCTAAGAATTAGGAAACCTTTCTCAATTCCACACCTATAGTTAGAAGGTGGGCATTGCCTTCTGAGCCAGTGGCCGTGTGGTTGTCCTCTGGTCTCTGGGGATGGGACGCTCCATCACTGAGGGGATTACTGGTCCTCTGAACAGTGGAGGAAGGGTGTCAGAGGCTGCATCTCTCTCCTCTGTTCCATCCAGCTTTGCAAACTCCTGTACCAGCAGTGGGGCCACATCTTCCGGAGGTCCCTTGGCTTCCTACCAGAAGGCCAACATGGACAATGGTGAGTGAAAAAGATGGGTGACCAGGTGACCTTTGGGATTCCCAGGGCAAGTTGAAAAGTGTGAGAAGTAAGTGACCCTGGACGTACAGCTTGAACACTGCCCATCACTTCAGGGTCTTGGACTCTTCGAAGTGGATTCTTCCTATTGCTGTGCCTGTCCCCACCCTCCCCTGCCTTTCCGCTCCTCCACTCCTTCAGGAGAGGTCAGGGAGATCTTTCTCAAACAAAATAATCATGCAGCTTGGGGTCATTGAGAATAGAGTGCCACAGACCCAGGTGGCTGCTATATTCCAAAGAGTCTTACTTTTTTCTCTAAGGGGTTAGGATGAGAGAGGGTTTGGGGAAACTGCTTCTAACACTCAGTCTCTTTTCTTCTCCTAATCCTGTGTTCTCAATGATGATCTCTTCAGGAAATGCCACAGATATCAATGACAACAGGTACACCAGTCCCCACTGCTGCTGAGTTCTCTAGGCGGGGCCAGAAGAAATGGTTGTTTCCCTCGTGCCCTACTTGGAGGTTCCCTAGAGCCTTCAGGGAAAGGAGGAGGAAATGAGAACCGTGTTATCCTGAAGATCTACTCATCCCCTGCCTCTTGGTGCAGAGAGCATATCCCCCGCCCAATCCCATCCGTGGCCCCTCCCCACTCCATTACGGGGGCGGTGGGGGGGGGGGAGTGCCATGGCCATCTGATGACCTGGGTTTCTCCCCTTCCTTTGGGAACTCTGTGACCTTGGGCGAGTCATCTCCATCTCTCTAGCCTTGATTTTCCTTGTATTCCTGTAACCCCCGAATAGTCCTTGCCTTTTGTTATCTCATAGGGATGCTAGGAGAGCAAAGTGACAGGAATGTTTTCCTTTATTGGAGCTGACCACGCTGGGTCTCTTCCTCCAGGAGTGACCTGCCATGCGGCTATGAGGCTGAGGACCAGGCCAAGCTGTTCCCTCTCCACCAAGAGACGGCAGCCAGCTAATCTCCCTCATGGACTGCCACATACCTGCACTTTCAGGTAGCTTCCCGCTGCTTTCTCTGACCAGCCTCGGGTTGCCTCCTGTCTTGCCCTCAGCCTCTTTGTTTCTCCTGCTTTTTTATCATCTCAAAACTTTTAATATATAGTTTTCCCTCAGCTCCTGCTTTCCCTTCGTAGGGGCTATAGGGGTGCTGGCCCACGGGCTGTGGACACTGACCTCCCCTCCTCCCTTAAGCTTTCCTTCTGGCTATAGTAATAACCACAGTACTGCATTTCTGCCACTAGGGGTCGCTGCCACATGTCAAAAACAGGGAGGGAGGCTGGTGCTCATCTAGAGCCATGCCCTGGTCAGGGAATGTAGTAGATATAAAAAGACCTTGAGAGATCATCTCAACTCCCTCTCTTCCTCCGCCTTGAAATAATTTTGGATGGATAGGTATCTTCTGAACTAAGACACCTCCAGTAAAGGAGATGTTTGCTTTATTCCTACACCTGTATCCCATACACCTCGTATCTGTTTATGTCACCAGTAAGCTTTAGGAAATGCCCCAGGAAGGCTAACTTTTTGTCTCTATACTGCAGTGTCGGCACTCCCCGCTCACCTTGCTCAGTGGAGGTAGAAAATAGCTGTGTTCCCCCTCTGAGCCCCCTTATTCTCCACCTCTGTCCCCAGGTCCTCTTTTCCAGCAGCTCAGGCACCTTCCTGGTTCCTGTGTGTCACCAGGCTTCTTACTTGCCTTAGGGCCCAGAACTGGACACTAGGAGCCTGCCTTACTGTCCTCTTTGGAGAACCAGAAACGAGACAATATGGCCAGTCTCTTACTGGGCTGCATCCAAGCCAAGCCCACTGCGGGGGCTTTCCAGGACAGGAAGCCAGGCACAGTCAGGCAGAAAGACATGAGGAGCAAAGAAGTAGGAATGGGGAAGAAGGATGAAGGTCTGGGGTAGAGGAGCGGGGGCTGGGAGAGTGCTGTCTGGTTGTTGGTGTTAAAGGGACAAGACTGTGAATCAAAGTTTGTACAAATGCCACTCTGTTCCTGTTGAGTGGTTGGGCTGCAAGGTAGTTCCTCACAACCTCTTTCTCTTTCTTCCCCAGTTTCTAAGAGGGACTGAGGCCTCTTCTCTCAGCATGCTGCAAACCTGTGGTCTCTGATACTAACAACTCCCTCCCCAGCCCTTGTTGTTTGACTGTACTGTTTGATGTCTACTCTTACTCTGTATCTCTTTGTACTCTGTATCTATATATCAAAAGCTGCTGCTATGTCTCTCCCTTCTGTCTTACTCTCTAAGTATCTAATGATGTATTTAGCAATTTCTAAGCATAGTATACCCTCCTCCTCGTTTGGGGTAATAGGGAGGAGGGTGGATGTTTTCTTCTCTCAAACACGCGTCTCTCACACTGAGTGGTGTTAGTCACGGAGATGGTAAAAGGAAAAATGGGAGCTAGAGGGCTGTGATCCTTCTCTCTCTCTCTTCTCTCTCTCTCTTTCTCTCTCTCTCACACACACATGCGCACACGCACGCACACAAAGCCTTAAGCAGAAGAATGTCTTAGCATCATAAGAAGATACAGAAATAGACTCTTCCTCCCTCCTCTTTCACATATAGCACAGAGGAGGGTAAAATGGAAGGCCTGCTAAATTACATGTAGGATTTTATTCATATCCCCCTCACCTGAACCGAGGGAGTCTGGGTGTGCAACTCTACCCTCCAAAGTGTACCTTTTGCCTCCCTCTTCCTTCCCCTGACCCCCCCTGCCCCGATGACTGAGGACATGGATTGTTCAAGGGACTATTTCCCTTTCTCCTCAAAACTCCTTTTGATATACTCTGCCCCAGAACTCATGAACAGAACCTAGAATTGCTTTAAAATATTTTGAAATTTTGAGGAGGCGTACTCTTCCCAACAGTCTATCAAATGGTTGCTCATCTGTTAGGTAATACTTATAGGCAAGCATAGCCAATGATTACTTCTTTGGGTTTGGGGGGGTGAACAGACTGGGAAACTCCAAGGTTTTTTTTTTTTTTTTGCCACAGTGATGAGCTGGATTCTTTTCTCTGTCCCATATTGGGCTGCCTGTTCTTCCCATCTCCACCTTTTGGTTTGGGACCTTCCAGTTCCTTGGCAAAATATCTTATCTCAAGATGCCTTCCTTTCAGGCTAGAGCCTCACTCCCCCACGATGCATCAAAACATTTTTCTTGACAGAATTCCTTTGATAATGTCCCCATCTGGTATTAAGTGCACTTTAAAGAAAGGGGCCGAGCAGACTGGGGGGAGGGTGGTTAGAGCGGAGTGCTCTTTCCCCAGCACCACCCCATATCATTGATAGTACTCTTATTTTAGTTTCCTTCCACATGGTGCTAGGGTGGTTTTCTAGGTAACTGCAGGGATGGAGACTGGCGGTCATAAGCCAGTGCAAATCAAGAAAGCAAGCCTGATGTCCAGATACCCAGTCTTACATCAAATGGAAAAACAGGACCCCCCAGCAAGGCTGGCATCACCTAGCTTCTAAGGCAGGAAAGAAAGCTTGGTGTGAGTGCCAGATGCTAAATATAGGCTGTATCGGCCTGTGACTCCTTCAAGGGAAAAAAAGTCCTTCCTCTGTTACCCGCTAGGCCCCTTTTTAGCAATTACGGAGACATGCAGGGACAAATATACCAGAAGGGTGTAGAGTAAATCCAAATCAGTGATATTCAAACATTTTTCAAAACAAATCTTACATGGAACTCCGATATAAAAAATAACAAAAAGTGATGCAGACCTGGACAGTTTCCATTTTCCTTATTTGGTGGAAAATGCTTCCTTAGTGGAGAAGCTCTTGAATAGTCCTAAGGGTTCTGTAAAGTAGTTTGAAAACCATTGTTCTGAAAGAAAGGGCTCAATCTGCCTCTCCTGCCCCAGGCCCATAACTTAGAGCAAAGGGGGAAAGTCCCAATGGGAAAAAAAGGAAGATACCTACACGCCTATAGACTTGAGCTAAGATTTGCCAGCAGGGTACCTCAGAACCCAATGGGCTTTATGTAATCTTGCCACCAAACGATCTTTTTAAAACACAGAAAATGTGAAGGTTTAGGGGAGATGAGGAGAGAGATGTAAGGGAAATGGAATTCACTTACATAAACAAGAACACACACACAGGGCCTTCACCAGAAGCTTCACTCTACATCCCGCCACCACAGCATCCCTTTCAGAGAGCGAGGGTCACCACAAGGGGCACCTGGCCTGCCCGCTCACATCTGCCAAATGTTGCATGCCAGCGTGGAGGACAAACCGAACCGCACAAACCCCAGTGTGTATTTACTTGATGTACATAGATACCTTGGAAATAAAATAAATTCAATGATGACTCTGTGGTGTTGTAAATCTTTATCCCTCCCCAGTCTCACTCCCTTACTTGCTTTTAATGGCATTTGATAGTGTGGTATATAGCCTTCCAGATATTCTTCTATAGATTTATACACATTTTTCCCCCCACTTGACAATATATTCTGGAGATCTTTTCATGTCATGATACATAGATTTAACCTCATTAAAATATAGATACAATTTTTCAAAAACTTATTCTATAATGTATTCAACCATTCCACTACTGGTGGATACCTACCTAGGTTGCTTATACTTTTTAACAAAAAATGGTATCCCATTCTCTTCTTTTTTTTTTTTAATTTTTTTTAATGTTTTATTTATTTCTAGGAGAGAGAGAGAGAGACAACATGCGCAGGGGAGGGTCAGAGAGAGAGGGAGTCACAGACTGAAACAGGCTCCAGGCTCTGAGCTGGCAGTCAGCACAGAGCCCGACGCGGGGCTCGAACCCACGAACCGCGAGATCATGACCTAAGCGAAAGTCGGTGCTTAACCGACTAAGCCACCCAGGCGCCCCCCATTCTCTTCATTTTTTCCCCACAGACCATCGCCTCAGTCCCAGTGTCAATTCTGTCCCTCTCTAGTGGTGCCTGGGTGACTCAGTCGGTTAAGCATCTGACTTTGGCTCAGGTCATGATCTCATGGTTCATGAGTTCAAGCCCCACATCGGGCTCGCTTCTGTCAGTATGTGGAGCCTGCTACAGATCTTTTGTTCCCTTCTCTCTCTGCCCCTCTCTGGCTCATGCTCATGCTCTCTCTCTCTCTCTCTCATTCATTCATTCATCAAGTAAGCTCTACACCCAACATAGGGCTTGAACTCACAACCCAGAGATCAAGAAGCATATGCTCTACTGACTGAGCCACCCAGATGTCCCCTACCCCCATTTCAGAGCATACCCCTACATGTCCTCTCTGCTTATGCCTTGGAGCTTCTGAGATGGATCGAGAAAACTGCAAGACCAAAACACTGGGGCAACCGAAAGCCTAGGAAGCTAACTGGCCCTTGGGTGCTGGTTACCACTTCTGTGTATCCCTAACCGGTTTCCTCCCCTGCCTCCCAGAGTCGCTGGTCAAAACTCCTCACCATCCTTTCTCACCTCCTCTCTTGGGCAACAATTAAGGCAACTGAGCATGAAATTCATCTCCTCTCCATACCTACATAGTACCAATATCTGCACTAATTCTTCTCTGGACTAAAGCAGATATCTTCTAGGTCCTTCATTCTTGAGATAGTTACATAGACCCAATATATACAATACCTAAAAGTGATGCAGATGGGCAATTTGCATCTTTTTTGTGATTTCTCCACTTCTCCTTGTAAGGTCTCCCTGAAAAGTGTTTCTTTAATTTTTTTAAGTACTCTCTACACGCAACGTGGGGCCCAAACTCATAATCCTGAGATCAAGAGTCACATGCTCTGTTGACTGAGCCAGCCAAGCACCCCGAAAAGTGTATTTTTACTGCGTCTCTACATGACTCCCCATTTTGTTTTCTTACAGCCAAATTTCCCGACAAAGTCTCAAGTCTCAAGTCCCCTCCCCACTTCCTCACCTCCCATTCATTCTTCACCCACCTCGAACTGGCTTTTGTTCTGCCAACACGGCTTTCCAAAGGTCACTGGTTGCCAAATATAACAGGCACTTCTTCATCGTTTTCTCCTTCACCCCTCCATGATATGTGACACTACACTCCTTCCTTCTGGAAACTCTACTCTCTGGTTTCTGTGACCCTGCTCTCCTGGCTCCTTTTATTTCTCAGTCTTCTCCCACTGGCAGCTTAAATGCTGGTCTATACCATGCTTTCTCTGGGAGGTGTCATCCCTGCCCACAGATTCTCAACTACTCAATCTGTATCCCCAGCCCAGACTATTCTGTTGAGCCTTGGCTCATATGTTCCATTGCCCTCAGGTACCTCAAGCACATTCCAAACTGAACGTTTCACCAAACTGCCCCCTTCCATGTCACCACCACCAGATCCCTTCAGGAGCCTGGGATTCATTCTTTTTTTTTTTTTTTTTTTCTTTTTTTTTTTTTTTTTTTTTTACTTTTTATTTTTTTTTTAATGTTTTTTATTTATTTCTAGGAGAGAGAGAGAGAGACAGCGTGAGCAGGGGAGGGTCAGAGAGAGAGGGAGTCACAGACTGAAACAGGCTCCAGGCTCTGAGCTGGCAGTCAGCACAGAGCCCGACGCGGGGCTCGAACCCACGAACCGCGAGATCATGACCTAAGCGAAAGCCGGACGCTTAACCGACTAAGCCACCCAGGCGCCCCTGGGATTCATTCTTAAAGTCTCCCTTTTCCTCAAGTCCCACATCCACTCAGAATTTTTCAAATTGACATCAAACTATACCTTTAAAAAATCTATATTTATTTTGAGAGAAGGGGGGGCGGGGCAGAGAGAGCAGGAGAGAGAATCCCAAGCAGGCTCCATGCTCTCAGTGCTCTGAGCACCAAGACTGAAGTGGGGCTCAATCCCCCCAAACTGAGATCATGAGCCAAGCAGAAATCAAGAGTCCCGTGCTCAACTGACTGAGCCACCCAGGTGGCCCTCACACTATACCATACGTTTATTTATTTTTAAGTTTATTTATTTTGAGAGAGAAAACATGAGTGGGGCAGGGGCAGAGAGAAAGGGAGGGAGAGAATCCCAAGCAGGCTCCTCACTGTCGGTGCAGAGCCCAATGTGGGGCACGAACCCACGAACGTAGTTGTGAGATCGTGACCTGAGACAAACACGCTTAACCAACTGAATCACGGCGCCCCTCAAACTATACCTTTAGATGCCATTCCCTCCTTTCCATCCCAACAGCCACCGTTTTAGTTCGCCATCTCCTCTCTCGACTTTTGGAATATTGCAGTCACCCTCCAGAATGATGCTTGAGTGGTCCTTGTAAAAGCACATTTA